TGAGAGTTCTACAAAATCTATTAGTAGATTTTCAGTTACATACCCATTAAGATTCACAGTACCTTTCAGAAGCTTTATAGTTTCTTCAGAAATAGGAAAATTGGAGAAGGCTCCCTCTTTCTGTTCACGTGTTAGGGTCTGTCAAATTGAAAGCAAAGTTTTAAATAATATAGTTTATACTCAACTCTTCCTCATTTATCATTTTTAATTTTACTAAACAAATTAACTTTAGTTAGTACTTACAAAAATTGTATAGATTAACTCACAAGCAAAATTAGTGGGAAATTCTTTTAATTTCAAAAAGTATCCCTTTAAATAGCAAGCTTACTTAATAGATTTTCCCTTAGTAAATTTTTAAATGTTTAACTCACCCATAAAACTCCCTTTAGAAATACCTCTACCACATAAATTTATATCTTCATTTGACTAAGATGTTATAAAAGTTATTTAATAATCTAAACCATACTTATATAGACAATATTAATTATAAAGATAAACATAAGCCTGTGAACTAAGCTAAATTATATAACGAGGAAAGTGTACTTTTTCAAAAAGTAAAAGTTAAAAATTTATTCTATGGCTTTAAAAAGCTTTTTTTTTAGGTCGCTAACATAGGGGAAAGTTCCTGTAAACTTAAAGACTTCTTTAACATATACGCAAGTTACCATGATGTTATCATTTAACATTTATTGTAAACTTTGTGTACTAGTCAAGGTGTATACACAACAAAGACAATATGTCTACCCAGTAAACTTTATTACCCATGTGTTTAAAGAAAGTAGTTTCAGAACCACACACAACAGCAATTTTCAAACTGGGAACCAGATAAAAGAAATAATTTCAAATTCAAATTGTAAGCCATTTAAACAAACCTCAATGCTGTTATCTTTTTAAGATTAAAAGAACAAAAATTATTACAAAAGTAATACTTTCATTGTAGAAATTTTAGAAACCACAAACAGAAACAAATTTAAAAATTTTCCATTATATAATCCACTCAGCTAAAGCCACATATGAAACATACTCCTCCAATCCTCACTCTATCCACATAAAAAATTTTTCAACAGCAATAAGATCATACTGTACATACTGTTTTATAACCTCCTTTTTAAACAAAATAGACTATCTTTCTAGTATTCTTGTATATCCCTTGGGATCACTGTATTCTATTGTACAGATAGCATATCTTATTAAACTAATTGCCTACTATCAGACATTTAGAATGTTTAAATTTTTTGCTATTAGCAACAATATTACTGTGATAAGAATACTTATTCATAAAGCTCTGCATACTTCTTGATTATCTCCTTAGGATAAATTCCTAGAAATAGAATTCCTGAAATCTAATACAATCTAAACAAAATAATAAAGTTAAACCTATTATAATACAGAGCACTGGACCAGGCAAAATCTCAACAGAGCAAGCAGCAACCTATACATTCTACTACTAGGAATACTGATTTATAGGGCCTCATTTAGCTCATACAACACAGGTACTTCCCGACAAATAGCAAACTCCTACAAACAAAAAACACCATATTGTAGGGCAAGAATTCAATACCTTTTCCCAAAGCTCCCTAAACATTACGCATTAAATTAAGCTCAAATGTATTTAAAT